AGCCACTGCACTCCAGTCTGGGCGACAGAGTGAGACTCTGACTCAAAAAAAAAAAAAAAAGACATACCATATTCTTTATTCATGAAATTTATTAAATATAATCAATGAAGTAAATGCAGAGTTCCAGGTGTGTGGGTGTAGTGTGGTGTGCTGGGTGATGATGTACTTGAAAAAAAAAATAGACATTTCAGCACCAAGGCTTCATTTGGAAGTCTGGTACCATTTCCGAATGGCTACGCCCGTGTTACTGGCTACTACGCAGAGCGCGCCACCCACCGTCCACCACGTGGGCACACTATTAAAGAAAATAATCTGCAAGATAAAAGCAAACACCACATCCATCGTCCTCATGATTGCTACGAGCCCAGCTTTTTCTATTTGGAGAGCTTTCGTGAGAAACACCTGGGCCCCCAAGCCAAAGAGCCCGATCAGTATGAGAAAGAGCCTGTCCAGGCCACAGTAAGGCAGACGCCACTCTCCCAGAACAGAGAGCACGATGCTGCATTCCAGGAGGCCGAGGATGACATAATACCAAATGCTCAGGCAGTAGTCCACGGACTTCCCCATTTTCCTTAGGATAATCAGAGTCACTGCGGCAAGCACAGCGTGTCCGATGGCGGCCAACGTGCCCTTCAGGTGGGCTGAATAGCTTACTTCCATCCCCAAAGTGTCCGAGCCAAACAGAAATGGTGGCCTCACAATAAGGGTGACTCCAGCGATGGTGAACACGGTGAAAAGTGCATCCCAAGGGCTATACTTTTCCTTGAGGAATATGCAAGCAAACAGAGACGTAAACACCGGGCTGCTAAACGTGATAACGGTGGCATCCGCGAGGGACATGGTCTGGAAAGCATAGTATATAAGGATCATGGCGGTGGAACCAATGGCTCCTCTGAGAAAGAGGAAAACTCGTTGGCCTTTGGGGCCTATGAACCCCGTTCTGTAAATGCAAATGAAGAAATGCATATTAAATGAAACTGCCATGTGCTTTTAAATTACAATTTTAAATAAACATTATCTTAAAGATATTAAGTATTCAAAATAAGGGAAGAGTGAATTAATCATAAAATCCACAACTGATATATACCTTTTAGAAATTAGTATTTTCTAACAGCTACTGACATGAAAGTGTTCACAATAAGATCAAAACTAGAACAGAAGTACATAAACAGTATACTTGTAATTCAACAATAATAATCATTTTCCCCACGTATATGTACATATATGCTTGCAAGGGACAAAAAGGGAAAAAAACTGGTTATACCTTTATAGGTAAACTCATAGGTAAGTTGCATTTATTTCCTCCAAATTTTCTACAATGAAAATGTGCCATATTTTTCTTTTTTCAAGTCAGTCTCACTCTGTCACCCAGGCTGGAGTGCAGTGGCATGCTCACTGTCACCGCAGCCTCGACCTGCTGAGCTCAGGCGATCCTTCTGCCTCAGCCTTTCGAGTAGCTGGGACTACAGGTAAGCACCACCATGCCCAGTTAATTTTTTTTTATTTACTGGAGACTCTCCATGTTGCCCAGGCTGGTCTCGAACTCCCGGACTCGGGCAATCCTCTTACCTCTGTCTCCCAAAGTGATGGGATTATACATGTGAACCACTATGCCCAGCGAAAATGTGTCATTTTTATGATAAATTTTAAGATTTAGCTGCCCTGTATAAGAAAACTTGGTCCTGGCTAACATGCATTTTCCATCTCATAAATTTTTCCATAAAAGTTGAGACAATGTTAACATTTATCTTAGCCACTGAACTTGAGACAACTTTTCAGTGTTCTCACAGCATGGAGTTCAAACAGAGGTGAGTGGATTGCCTGAGCCCGCGGGTTCAAGACCCGCCTGGGCAGCGAGACCTCATCTCTACAATAAATCAAAAATCAGCCGGGCATGGTAGCGCATGCCTGTAATTCTGGCTACTTGGAAGGCTGAGGCGGAAGGATCGCCGGAGCCCAGCAGGCGAGGCTGTGGTGGCCAGGAGCGGCCACTGCACTCCAGTCTGGGCGACCGAGTGAGACTCCAACACACACACAAAAAAAATATGTAGAGTCCAGAAAATTATGATTACTGCTATTCAAATTTTTTTCAAGTAAATATCTACTAAGTATCAACTCTGTGTAAGTTCCTGGCTAGTGCAACTCACTGATCTGTGCCAGGGCTGGTCTTTATTAGGATAGCATCTAGGCCCGACATGGACACCCCTGGGTTTCTGGAGTTAGAAATGGAAGTGTGGTCACATCTGGCCCACACTTTGAGAAGCTAAGAATCTTCCATGATAATGGGTCTAAACAAATCAGGGTCAAGGATTTTAAGAATATTCTTCTAGAGTCCTTCCTCTGACATTATCTTTATTCCAAAATGGGGAGATGATTACGTTAGCATCAGTGTTCTGTTAACACCTTCAGAAATTTCTAAAGTTGGTCAGTTGCAGTGGCTCAAGGCCTATAACCTCAGCACTTTGTGAGGACAATGTGGGAGGATTGCTTGAGCTCAGGAGTTCGAGACCAGCCTGGGCTGGCAACATAGCAAGACCTCATCTCTACAAAAAATTAGCCAGGCATGGTGGCATGTGCCTGTAGTCCTATCTACTCTGGAGACTGAAGTGGTCAGATCACCTCAGCCAGGAGATCAAGGTTACCGTGACCCATGATTGTGCCACTGTAACTTCAGCCTGGGTAACAGAGTGAGACTCCCACTCCAAAAAAAAAAAGAGTATTTCTAAAGTCTTACCATCATTTCCTAAAAAACTGTGACTTGGATACATTGACACTGAAATTTCTGACCTATGAATCCAAACAGATTTTCACTTTTCCCACCAAATCCTTGGGATATGGAGTGAAACTCTTCTAAGTGAATCTGTACCATGTAATGAGATCCAAGGAGACTTTGGTGGCAAGTGACTAAAGCTTTAATGGGGGTTTTGCCCAATGAGAGAAAAGGCCTGGCAGCTCCCAGGGCTGCAAGTGATCTCCCTTAAGATTCTATGTATACCTGGGTGTGTGGAGGTTATTACTATATGGGAGAGCATCATTTAGACCTGGAGAGGATGGGGCATGGGGACCAATGGGGTGAACAGAGATAGTTCTCATACACTGTTACAGTCTACAGAAAGCACTCTGCTCATAATACATCTTATTCGACCCTTACAACCACCTTGCAGATTAGAGGACAGACAGGATCATTCCCTTAGCTATGAGGAAACTGAATATGAAAGTTACAAAGGCCTTGCTCAAGGTGCCCCCCCCATCACCTGGGGACGAGTAAATGTTACTGGAATCTTCTGTGTGCCCCGTAAGAGAACAGTCTGCTCTCTCTTTTTTTTTTTTTTTAGTCCCCCACCCCCACCCCAACCAGCCTGTTCTCTTAAAGAAACCTCTGCCACCAGGAGACACTACGGCCTCTTTTCATTTACTTTTTGTCTTCCAAATAGTAGTTATGCCCAAGGAAAGAAGGGAGGGTGGTACGAGACGGGAAATTACACAAAGAAAGCTCTGTCTTCAAAATGCGGGGCAGTGCGTGACTAAATCTCTTCCTCCCCGCTTCATTGCGTGTGGTTTGTGCCTATGGTAGAAACTTCTGCGGGTGGATGCTTGTAACCTTTCATTAATCAGAGCCCAGGGGCATAGAAACTGGTCAATCTATGAAGCAGGGAAGGCAGATACTGTAAATAATTTAGGCAGGTCAAAGATGTGCACACATTTATTAAATATCTTCTACTTGGCAGTTAAAAAATACTTACTTTCTGTATATTATGCAAGGGATAACAACTAGCATTTGGAACACACATCGAAACGCACTAATCTCTACAGCATGGACGTCTTGCACTTTTTTAACAAATAAAGAGCTCACTGAGAAAAGGAAGGCAGACAATAATGTGTAAAACAAGCCAAGTCCAGGACAGGGCGCTTTCTTCTTGGCTTCTGAAAAAGATTAAATTCTGGTTAGTCCTTGCTTCCAAATGTATGTTTTTATCATTTTCACCTAGAGATTCAGAAAAATGGAACGGTGTCACAGGCTAGCAGCTTCCAAATACTGCCTCCTGAGCAGATCCATTCTCTGGACCTGGGTCATTTCCCCGTCAATTATGAAGAACCACAGATGAAAGCAACCATTGAGACCTGCAATTTTTTTTAGACACTGTTTCACCCTATAAAATGGATTTCCTGAGGGGGCCAGGAGGTAGGGAGGGGAGAAAAAAATGGATTTCCTTTGACTCACTGGAGAATCATGCCTCCCTCACAAGTCAAGAAGTAGAAAGCTTGCCAAGACGGTAAGAGAAAAAAAATCTCTAAGGAACACTTGTCAAGATGGCAAGTAAGAAATACTTCCAAATGATGATATCTTAAGCCATCTCACGGGCAAGTTGGCTTTATGAAGAAAGGGTTTTCTGAAAAACAAGTTGTAACTGTGTTTTATGGCTATTTGTTATGCAAGGATCTGACTCCCCTACAGGCCTGTGAAGCCTTCCAGGGCTGGGACCTCAGCTGTCTTATACATGCCTGGTGCATGGGAGATCTTGACTAAATCTTCAGTGAATGGAGGGATATGAGAACTTCTGGAAAGACTCAAGAGTCTGACACTATTGGCAACAGCACAGTCTGGGAAGGTTCTCCATTTTGCTATTTGGAACTGTTCATCAAATCTGCATTTAACTTCCCATGGTTCGCGTCTTAGCTTCCCATTTAGCACACAGACTCCTTGAGGACAGGGGCCCTGGTCCTCTACCCCTCTGATTCTTAAGTGCCAAAACTGCTGTCTAGTCCCTACTGTTGGCTGGATCTGAACCGAGAAACGTGTGCTTTCTCCAGGGTGTCACGTGTTCAGTCCACTCATGACAATCTGTGAGAGCTCTCGACGGCATCTAGTTTCCTACCTAGGGGTAGAACTTGCTTTCAGTCTTACTTCCCTCACATTGAGGGGACAGCAAATCCCCTAAAGGACAGGCCGCTCACTGAGGAATAAATATATTATTTTTCTTTTTTTAAAACTAACACAGAAACAAGGAAAGGATAAGACGGAAACCTAAGTGATCCTCGTCAGTTAAGAGCACAGAGGAACGGAAGGACAGGAACAATCAGTAGGAAAACTGGTTATCATCACAGTCTAGGAAATTCCAGTGTGTCCCTCAGCTATGAGTGTTGTATAATAATGGGTTTTTAAATGCCCTTTTCTGATGGATGTAAGCACCAGGTAATCCATCTCAACATCCTCATATCAATCAGATACCTTTGCCCACCAGTGACTTTGCAATCGGGGCTCAGGTGTGACAATGCACAGCCTTTCCAGGGCATTCTACGGCCTGGCCTTTGTAGTCAAAGATGCCATGCTCAGCAGAGGTATCCACTCCTCCTGTTCTAGGAGCACAGCCGGAAAGACCCTTGGGAGCTGACAGTCGTCTTCCGCTAGGGTGCCAGCACCTTCCACGTTCTGCTCTGGACCTACGTGCTCAGACACTGTGGCAACAAACTGCACACACCCACTCCTCAGCCCAGGAGAAGAAAGCTTTCGAAGACGTTCAAATGAGGTGCCACAAATACATGCCTTGGCTGTGGTCAGCCTTGAAGCCTAGTTTCTGAAATTCCAGAACAGAAGGCCAAATAGAACCGTTTTTCTTAAGAGAAACCCAATCCATACAGAGGACCTCCACCTGCAGAACAGAACGAGAAGATGAAGGACAGAAAACAAGTCCCTGGCCTGTGTTTCAAGTATCTTCTCCAACCTAAACTTGCTACATTTTCCCCAGGAATATTTTAACTTCACAGGGTATATTGGCTCTTTTAAAGACGTAATTCTACACCCTTGACCCCGGAGACCTTTTCCCTTAGAACACACATACACATATTTTCTTGCCCATAAACACTCAAGACTCCTGCTTCCAGACTGGGACCGGACAGATGTTAGAAGGCCTCACTGCATCTGAGTCATTAACAAAGGGTCAGGAGGGTGAGGACATGTCCTACTCTAGCAAACCCAGTCTCTTACTGAGTAACTCTGATTCTGTCCATGGAGAGAAGTGAGAGATGAGCATAACAGAGAGAGGCATTCGCTGATGGTCTATGCTCGTATCTCACTGGGAACAGAGCTGAAAATTTGGGAACTCTACATAATTCCAATTAAGCAAGCTGCCGCAGGGCAATTTCCTGATTGGGATGAAAACTGAAAAGTTGCTCAGCTTCTCCAACCTCTGCTTTAAGCTGCAGATTCATGATCCTGGCTGGAAATGAGAATCACCTGAGGAACATTTAAAACTTCAATTTCCAAGCCACACCTTAGACTCAGAAACAGAATCTCTGTTAACTCCAAAAAACTCCACTTGGGAGCTTGAGAGCCCCTCTAACTCCTTCCAGAAGGATGTGAGGCGCAGGCCCAAGGCATCTTCTCCTTGCCTCAGTGTCTAAGATACACACTGTTCCTGAAGAAAGTCAACAGATGTCCCAGGACGGCTGTGCACCGTCTGCTGAGGTCATCCAAGACTAAGAAAAGTGGATAGCAGTTCCCAACAGAACTTAAAAACGAGCTCTGTTGAGATAACCAGTTACAAGAGGCTAAAATGATGGCGTCAACAAGTTCAATGACAATAGAACAGTAAAGTGTCTTTATGGCAATCTTCTTTTCAACATACAATCTGCTCACCTTCCAACAACTATCACTAAGTCTTACTGGTAGCAACTTCTCTTTGAAGTTAGGTGTCCTCCTTGCTTACACAGGTTTCTCATGTCACCACACACTGCCCAAGTGGAGAGAATTCCTCTTTGGTTCACAAAAAGGGGAAACTTTTCAGCGTTGGCATGGACTGACTCAGCACTCTAGTGGAGTGACATTCCGCCACAGGGTGACACACGAGAACCTGACCTCTTCAGAGGCGGCACATCTGCTCCTCCAGCTTGGGCAAAGCCCTGCTCTCAAGGCACCCACCCAGGCATCCATGAGCAGATGTCTGATCACTTCTGTTTGCGTTCAGGGCAGAAATGGAGCAAAAATCATCTTCCTAGGGTTCTTTCTCTCTAAATTGAGGCACATGCATACAAGGAGTAGCAAAACGTGGGGTGAGATGACAAAGAGTGTCAGGGCCACCCTCAGGGGTGGCGACCCAGAGGCTGAGCTGAGGCAGACTGTATAGCTTTGTCTTCAAGTGGTGCTTGCCTAATTCTTTCCTTCAGGAAACTGCCCCAGGTGGGGTGATCGACTGGAAGGAGTGCGCTTGAAGCCGCCCTCCTGGCCGGGTCCCTGCAAGCTGGGGTCCCAGCCCGGCGATGCCTAGCTCCGTGCCCTGTCTCACCCATACACGCCGCATCTCGGGGGAAACAACCCCAAACGAAAAACCCTCCCAAACCCTCACCTTCCTGGGCCTCGCTCTGCTCACGCGTCGGAGGGGAGGGCCGAACAAGACGAAGGGTTCTTCTCGCCGGGTCCCCGGCTGCGGGGACGCGGCCGCGCCCCCTTAAACCAGGCACGCCTCGTTTCGCGCCGGTGGCTAAGAAAGTCCTCGTAGCCCCAGCCGCGCAAGAAGGGGCGGCGGTGCCCCTCATCGCGGCCTCTCCAAGATCCTGAGACTCTGGGACACCCGCTTTTCGGGGCTGGATGCTTGGCCACCTCCTCCGGGGAGAGCACGGTGCAGCGGGGGCAGCAAGTTCA